TGGACGTCTATGACACCATCTCCTGTCATTACTCAGTAGTGGACGTCTATGACACCATCTCCTGTCATTACTCAGTAGTGGGCGTCTATGACACCATCTCCTGTCATTACTCAGTAGTGGACGTCTATGACACCATCTCCTGTCATTACTCAGTAGTGGACGTCTATGACACCATCTCCTGTCGTTACTCAGTAGTAGACGTCTATGACACCATCTCCTGTCATTACTCAGTAGTGGACGTCTATGACACCATCTCCTGTCATTACTCAGTAGTAGACGTTTATGACACCATCTCCTGTCGTTACTCAGTACTGGGCGTCTATGACACCATCTCCTGTCATTACTCAGTAGTGGGCGTCTGTGACACCATCTCATGTCATCACTCAGTAGTGGGCGTCTATAACACCATCTCCTGTCGTTACTCAGTAGTAGACGTTTATGACACCATCTCCTGTCTTTACTCAGTAGTGGACGTCTATGACACCATCTCCTGTCATTACTCAGTAGTAGACGTTTATGACACCATCTCCTGTCGTTACTCAGTAGTGGACGTCTATGACACCATCTCCTGTCGTTACTCAGTAGTGGACGTCTATGACACCATCTCCTGTCGTTACTCAGTAGTGGACGTCTATGACACCATCTCCTGTCGTTACTCAGTAGTAGACGTCTATGACACCATCTCCTGTCGTTACTCAGTAGTGGACGTCTATGACACCATCTCCTGTCGTTACTCAGTAGTGGACGTCTATGACACCATCTCCTGTCATTACTCAGTAGTAGACGTTTATGACACCATCTCCTGTCGTTACTCAGTACTGGGCGTCTATGACACCATCTCCTGTCATTACTCAGTAGTGGACATCTATGACACCATCTCCATTTATTACTCAGTAGTGGGCGTCTATGACACCATCTCCTGTCATTACTCAGTTGTGGGCGTCTATGACACCATCTCCTGTCATTACTCAGTAGTAGACGTTTATGACACCATCTCCTGTCATAACTCAGTAGTGGACGTCTATGACACCATCTCCTGTCGTTACTCAGTACTGGGCGTCTATGACACGATCTCCTGTCATTACTCAGTAGTGGGCGTCTATAACACCATCTCCTGTCATTACTCAGTAGTGGACGTCTATGACACCATCTCCTGTCATTACTCAGTAGTGGGCGTCTATGACACCATCTCCTGTCGTTACTCAGTACTGGGCGTCTATGACACCATCACCTGTCATTACTCAGTAGTGGGCGTCTATGACACCATCTCCTGTCGTTACTCAGTAGTGGACGTCTATGACACCATCTCCTGTCATAACTCAGTAGTGGGCGTCTATGACACCATCTCCTGTCATTACTCAGGACTGGGCGTCTATAACACCATCTCCATTCATTACTCAGTAGTGGGCGTCTGTGACACCATCTCATGTCATCACTCAGTAGTGGGCATCTATAACACCATCTACTATCATCAATCAGTAGTAGACGTCTATGACACCATCTCCTGTCATCACTCAGTAGTGGGCGTCTATAAAACCATCTCCTATCATTACTCAGTAGTGGATGTCTATGACACCATCTCTTGTCATTACTCAGTAGTGGACGTCTATGACACCATCGCCTGTCATTACTCAGTAGTGGACGTCTATGACACCATCTCCTGTCATTACTCAGTAGTGGACGTCTATGACACCATCTCCTGTCGTTACTCAGTAGTGGACGTCTATGACACCATCTCCTGTCATTACTCAGTAGTGGGCGTCTATGACACCATCTCCTGTCGTTACTCAGTAGTGGACATCTATGACACCATCTCCATTTATTACTCAGTAGTGGGCGTCTATGACACCATCTGTCATTACTCAGAAGTAGACGTTTATGACACCATCTCCTGTCATTACTCAGTAGTGGACGTCTATGACACCATCTCCTGTCATTACTCAGTAGTGGACGTCTATGACACCATCTCCTGTCATTACTCAGTAGTAGACGTTTATGACACCATCTCCTGTCATTACTCAGTAGTGGACGTCTATGACACCATCTGTCATTACTCAGCAGTGGACGTCTATGACACCATCTCCTGTCATTACTCAGTAGTGGACGTCTATGACACCATCTCCTGTCATTACTCAGTAGTGGGCGTCTATGACACCATCTCCTGTCATTACTCAGTAGTGGACGTCTATGACACCATCTCCTGTCATTACTCAGTACTGGGCGTCTATGACATCATCTCCTGTCATTACTCAATGACATATTGGCACTGCATCTTTTTCCAATGCAAATAGCAGTTTCACAAGTTAGTAAACAAGATGGATTTAATCGCAGTTTATTCTGTTTACATTTCCCAAATAACATCAACCTTGATTTAAAGAATGCACCTCATTTGATACGAATACCAATCATTAGGTTAAGAAAAATGCAAACTGACATCAAACAACATTTAGAACAAGTGTAATCTATCGTGGCTTCATGCATATTCATGTGAATATCAAACATGATCAAGTCATCAACTGAACTTGTGTTGTCACAGCAATCAGTTTTGATCACTTGAAGTGTGCACACACCAATATGGTACAACAAAACAATTTGTATCCCTGTTATAGCATTAAAGTGAATTCATGGCATAATGATGAGAGTAATACATTTAACATGAAAAATAACAATGGCCAAAAGTATGATAGACCACAACTACAATAAAACTAGTCTTGAAGAGTGAATATTTCTTGACACTGCAGTCAGCAATTATACTGCATATATTGTGGCACCTGTAAATAATAGTCTAATTGAAAACATGTGTAATGTTCAATGCCAACTCTAACAAGCCCAGTTAATCAGTGAGTGAGTTGGGTTTTACGCCATTTTAAGCATTATTCAAGTTTTATCATGGTGTGTCAGCTTTATGTGGGAGGAAAGCCCGAAGTGATGCAGGTCTCAGACGTTTACCACTTCGGTTTAACACACGTGCTGACAAATCTAGAATTTGGGATGTCTGCACAGCGAATTACTGCGCCTGAGATGACTTGGCAACCCGTGGCCCTGCCGGCCCCCCAGTTAATGAGGGCCAATTCTATCCATGTCCCAACAGTGAGCTTTGTAAGGGTTTGACATTTTGTGCTGCTGCTGCTTGGCTTGACGTGGATATAACCTTAAAGGGCAAGTTCACACGGAAATGAACCAATTTTTCTTGTACTTTTTCCACATTAAAAGTGTTAACATAGAAGTGTCATAGACAAAAATATAAAAACATCATATTTAATTAACATATTTTTTGCATTAAAACGATTTATATTTTTCACATTTACTAAGTGTTCTATTTCCATAACAAAAACACCATGGCTTATGCCCCTTGCAATATGACGTCATTGGTGCCATTTGATAAACATTATGACGTCATCATGCTTTGTTAGAGCCGCTTCACGTGGTGTAGGTACAGTTTTGTGATTTTAGCGTCTCAGATGCCAGCCAGAATTGTGTTATACTGAGTCACCACTGCGCCGGAGAGTGTCGTAGACCATGTTGTTTTACATAAAAACTGGTCCTTGATATCTTTTGCGTTGAGAATAGACAGGGACCCAGTTGAATTAGCACCAATTACGTCATAATCTAAGGGGGATAACTCAGGCCTATTTTGCTCGTAAAACGAAGGCCTCATAACGGCATATCATTTTAACACTATTGTGAGCTTCCTACTTTCACTGTGAGAAAAATTGAGTGTATATTTTCAAACACAGATACTAACTAATTCTAAAATTGCGTTTTGTTTAGAAAAAGAAAGAAAGTGATTTTTGCGTGTACACTTCCCCTTTAAGGTTCAAACTGATATCCTCAATGCCAGCACACTATGTACTGAGTGGATGCTATCTCAAAAACAAGGAGCACTCATAACTGAAGAGAGGTGTGATTAAAGCACCTGCCTTCAAAAACATACATTTCTATAAAAATAGTCAAAAGTGGCACAAATATGATTTATTCACTAAAAAGCAATTATTTGCCTTTTAGTTAGTTCACAGAATTTTGGCTTGCTCTTACAATGTGGCTGGTTAAAATGTAAAATAAAACAACATTGTCTTCAAATGAACAAGTTGATGGTTGAAGAAAAATGAAAAAAAACCTATATGGTATTCCTTCAGGTGAATGAAAAGGGGATAAATAATAACTAGACATGATGATTTACCATTTAAATTGTATTTCCTGTTCTAAAAGGCATTGTTTTATATGCAGAGATTAAGATTACCGTGTGTATTTTCTCATTAACTAAGCCGGAAATTGTAATCAGTGGTCCAGACATTTCCTCCTGGTTTACCAGGAATTCAGTTACAAAATGCCCAAGAATATAACTTTATAGAATTTGGATGCAACAAACAGAAGAAATAGTATCTGAAACTATTTTTTACCAGGAATAATATTTTCCAATATCATGTTAATTTAGCTGCAGCTTTTACTATATTATATCTTATTAAAGCACTTTGGTAAAGGTGATTGCTATTTCCGGATATTTTCTAAGGATGAACAGTTTGGCCAGTCACTGTGGTCTTGCTATTTCAAATGCAAAAACATTATGTTTCCATATAAGAGCCAATCAAATATTACTTTAACAAGTCAAAGTATGACACTAATGATATCAATCTCATTTAATTCAGATCTATGTTCTCACTGCCGCTAAACAAAGATCTGAGGACATACCATTACAGGTCACGTCAGAACGACCTTTCATCCGACCAATCAAAGCGTCGGTTACCAGATCATGAAAGTAACAGTCAAAATGTATTTTCTAATCAATGCAACCTCGAAAACATAAATACGGGGTATTCCGAACGACAATTACGGCCCGTACGACTGATTCCGTCAAAATTATCGTCTATCTCTCGGATAAACATTTGAACGGAGGACGCGTTGCACAGTACGTAGGAAGCACTGCCATACACTCTGTAGGAAGCACTGCCATAAACTCTCAACCATATATTAGACATTCCAGAATGTTCCTTTGTCCAGTTTTTCAAAATATTAATCGAGAACTGTGTCAAAATATTTTTCAAGCGTAGACAGAAATGGAATTCGCTAGGTTGAAACGAGTGCCGTAAAGCTCGAGAAAGCTGCTTTCTAATTGGCTGATGTCGACTTGGCTGACATAATTTCAGTCGTCGGTCAAAGTTTGCGAAAGGTCGTCCTGATGTGACCCATAATGGGATGTCCTCAGATCTTTGTTTAGCGGCAGCAAGAACTGAGATATGATTTTAATGAGATTGCTAATCATATGTATGTAGCCATTGTTTGACAACTAAGGTTTATTTCAATGTTCCAGTTGCTGGGATCTGATCGTGGTTGCTGTTAATAATAGTGAGTTGGTGCGATCTGCCAATCACACCCTTTCACAAAAATTAATGGTAATAATATTGACTGAAATTTTGAATAAAATTAATAGAATAGATTACAAACATAAGTCAAGATATACAATGAACACTGTTTATACCTGCATCAATACTGTTGAAAGACATTGTCTTGTGACAGAGAACTACTCTTTATCTGTAATAATGCTGTGGTGTACTGTAACAGAGATCCAGTCTTTATCTTATATCTCTTTATCTCCATTCATGTATATATATGGAACAAACTTCCATGAGCAAGAGTTTGAAATATTCCAGACAAACAAAATACATGGTCAATTCTGTACAGGTTTGCACACACAAAGTTATATTATCCCCAATGACTACATAATTTATGGCCACATGGCTGTGTAGTACCTATTAATAACAAATCCTGCAAAGACCTTGTTTAGTTAGAGCTAAACCAGCAAATGCACAGACCAATGAGCACTCGGACTACATCTCACAAACAGCAATGTTTTCACTTGACATCATGTTCTACACAAAGCCTTAGTGCCAGGCAGTGGTCAGTTCATGCATGGAGTAGAGCTCATTTCACTCCTGTAGGTTACACACAGCCTCATTTCATGAGCTGACTAAAATTAGACATCCTTCACCAATACACCAGAAGTGTGTCCAATGTAGTCATCGGTGATGGAGGAATGTAGTGTGTACACATCTGTGAAGTAGTCACAATGACCACAAATAGGACAACCAACTTTCCTCCCCACATAGAAGTTTCTTGGTGTTTCAGTTTCTGGTTCTAATTGTCACTGAGTATTCCTTCCAAATATCACCTGAATAAGAAGGATTAAAAGTTCAATGCTCAAAAGAAGACATTATTATTATTATTATAAATATAAAAATAGTAATAATAATAATAATAATAATAATAATAATTGGCACCTACTAACATAAGAGATACTCTCATACTATTGAAAAGATTTACAAAACAATAATAATAATCATCATTCTTCATAATTTTAACATCTTTGGATATCTCTGTTACAAATAATCATCCACTAAACCAGTTACCCATGCCTCATACATGAACATTCAACATTCATCAGTCAATCACAATCTGATAACTCATCATTACATCTGTAGATTTGACTCCACCATTGTGGATGTAAAGACAAGGTTGTCGACCCAAAGGAAGAACTCAAGGCGACTCTCCTGCTGCCAGTCTAGCATTGATATCCTTCACAACATCAGGTAGATCAACAATACTATCAACAACATAATGAGCGCCGGCTTTCCTCAGAATGTCTCTTGTTTTCTGCAATCTGTCTTGGATGTCCTCATCCGAGAGCTCAGCCTCTTGCTCAAGGCTATCCACATTCATGTAGTTGCTGTACCGAGCCAGGCCCACTCCCCAACATCCTGCTTCCAGAGCCTCCCCTATCCCTGATATTGTATCGTCAACTTTAACCACCGACTGGATAGGATGGATGTCCAGAAGGTCGAGGTTTCGATAAACCATGAATGGCTTGGGACGTGCACCGTTGACTACCTCATCCCCTGCAACTGTGGCATCAGGAACATAGCCTTGTTTCTTAGCTTCTTCAAGGAGGATATCGACCATAGATCGCAGAAAACCTGTCGTGACACCGATCTTGCACCCAAAATCTTTTCGGAGTTCATCCACCGAGTCCTTTGTCCCTGGGATCAGTTGGCCGTATTGGCGAAGCACATCCAGCTGAATGGGTACAAAGGTTTGGAACATATCATCCACATCCTTGTCCGTTGGATCTCTACCATAAACCTTCCTCCATCGAGACTGGACTGAGGGCATCTTGGTGATGGCCTTAATATGGAGATCTTTCCGCAAACCCATTGGCTCCCGTGATTCCTCCATTGAGATGGGTACTTTGAATTTCTTGAAGACTTCAATAAAGCTTACTGCTGGTGCCAAGACGTACTTGTCAGCAGTGGTACCGCTCCAGTCTAGGATGCATGCCCTCACGGGGCCAACATAGGACCGACAGTAGCGGAAATGGCTCATATTCCCTGAAAGCAGAAAAAAGATAAGTGTTGTTACCTGTTAATTCTTATCTTTGCAAAGGAGTAAATGGGTGAAAAACTTCTAATGTCCAAACAGCAATACTGCAGCAATCTGAGGCAACCTATTCAAGAAAAGCAGTGAATTATTAATGATAAAGACACGAGTCTCTGCATCTCTCCTGATTTTAATAATAATTGCAACAAAGTAATGTTTTTCAGTGTAGCAATTTGAACAAGGTGGTTTAGATGTATATATACTGGGTCTTCTATCTGTGAGCAAGGTTTAATGATGGAGAAGTTTCACTTTAATATGTCCCAGTCCTGATTTAACACCATTTGGCAATGACAGAGCTTCTTGTTTTCCCTATCATTTACCTTGATGATAGAACAATTTCATTAAAAACGTATCACCAGCTAATGGATGTAGTCTAAGGCCACAGCTACATAAAAAGACATTTTATGGAATTGGCAACCAAACATTTACCTTCATCAAGACTAATGTACACCTTGAAAAAGGTTAAGCACCCCCTGAGATAATGAATTATTATGTGTCACCATTAATGTCAACTATAATGGCATGGAAGATTATGACAAGAATGGTGTCCCATCATAAGGATGTGTCATCCTTTGCCTCATGGTGACATCAGAACTCACCATGACATGCTTGTACAGCATGCCACTCATGTGTTCTCCAAAATGCAAAATGTTCTGGCATCAAATATCATTCCCTGTGAACATTGCACAAAGGAGGATATCCAGGACACAAAGATGGCAAAATAATAAGAATGCCTTCCACAGTGTCGTCTTCCAAAACTATCTGGGCTACCATTAAACAGTAATCAGCTGATCAGTTTGAAAATCAAAAACAAGATCAAACGAATGCCATGAAGGATGACCTCCATTCATGTCACAGTGTGAGGACAGGGCACCGTTTTAATTTGTATGACGACAGGCATTTGCAATGAGTCCTGTCCAGAATGCACAATGGCTACCCAATTGACGCCTGGCCACCAGAACCATGAGCAACCACTTGAGAGCAGCAGGAATGGTACCCAGGAGAGTCATCACATGCTCCCTACAGGCAGATTACCATCAGAGGATCCATTTGGCATGCGTTTAGCTGAACAGGCTTGATAGGATGAATGGGGGTTCCTGCCCAATGTCAGGGATGTACGACTGAGGGTTTGGAGGCACAGGAAGATGGTCTATACACCAAGGACCATCAGGTGAACTGTCCCTAATGGGAGTAGCTCATAAGACCTCAGTTCACGGATGATAACACCAGACTCCATGATTCCTGGGCAGTTGACAGCCTACTACATGTACCAGAATAATGCTGTGACAACTCTGCCTTGGCCTGCCATGAGTCCAAATCTGAATCTGATTGAGCACATTTGGGATATCCTTGGGCGTTGTATACAGGAAATGGGAGCAGCATTGCATCTGGTTTCAGTTGCCCCCTCAGACGATTTGACATGGGACTGTAGGGATGAGACGCAGGGTGGAGATTGTGATGCAGGCATATGGAGGTTTACTCGCAACTGAACCTCTGAAGTAAGTGTGTCATCTAGGGACTCATTGTATCCAGAAATAGCAATATCAAAATCTAACATCAGCTGACAATGGTGGTGGTTTCTTAATGTCAGAGGGTTGTTCCTACAGTTAACATTCATATATTCGAGCTCATTTTGTCATTTCAGCACTTTTTTACACATAATTGAAAATTTCTAAGGGTTCTTATCTTTTTTTCCAGTCGAACCTCGTGTTGAATTTGCGGGCACCTTGAAAAACGTTTGAGTTAACCAGAGTTTGAGACAACCAACAAATGACTCTCGAAAACCAAACAACTTGTGTGCTTGTCAGAAAGCATCCTGCCTCTGATGTTATTGCGGCAAGTGCAGCGAGGTCAGTCAATTGTGTGCGAAGTGAGTTGAAAGTTGAAAGTGTGTAGACATTATTTTTTAGTTTAAACAATTTGAGCCATCATGGAAATTTTATGCTTAATTTGGATACTTGGGAGTCAGAGTTGACTTTCCTGCAACCAGGAATTTGACAAATCCAGTTCGACAGATCCATGAATAAATGATGACGAACACAGAAGGACTTCACAGGGACCACAGGGTCAGTTTGAGGCAACCGGGAATTTGACATATCCAAGTTCGACACAAGGTTTAACTGTAGCTTATCAAAATACTAAAGGTGAAATATGTGTTTTATGCAGTGCATTGTATGTTATTCTATACATTGTACATATGTGTGATTAGGTAACTTTTCGTTCATAGAAACGATCAGATAGAACAACTAAAGTTTGCCACTAACGTGGCTATATCCCCCGCCCCTGTTGCAGAATTTATGACATAATTAAATCTAAACAAACCCTAACCTTTTTTAACCGGGGTGGAACTTGTCATGGAAATTGTAAAAAAAAAGAAGAGTTTGGAACCAAAGTCCACCTTGTTGCCATGGAAACGAAAAAAAACAAAAATTTCTAAAATTTCTAATTAGCAAAAGGCACCAGTTCAGCATGTACTTGACAGACCTGCAAAGTTTCATGAAAAAATATTGAACAGTTTCTGAGTTATGCACCGGAAACGAAACATGACGGACGTAACCCGTTTCTATATCCCCCGCCAACTTTGTTGGGCGGGGGATAAAAATTACTCTTGCCTTAATCAGGGATGTGTTTGCTCATAACAGGAACACCAACATGGTCAAGAAATATGTAGGTGATTAATACATGTCCTTGAGCTGGTCCTGTATGAATACATCAACATGGTCAAGTAATATCTAGGTGATTAATACGTGTGCTTGAGCTGGTCCTGAATGAATACATCAACATGGTCAAGTAATATCTAGGTGATTAAAACGTGTGCTAGAGCTGGTCCTGTATGAATACATCAACATGGTCAAGTAATATCTTGGTGATTAATACGTGTACTTGAGCTGGTCCTGTATGAATACATCAACATGGTCAAGTAATATCTAGGTGATTAATACGTGTCCTTGAGGTGGTCCTGTATGAATACATCAACATGGTCAAGTAATATCTAGGTGATTAATACGTGTGCTTGAGCTGGTCCTGTATGAATACATCAACATGGTCAAGTAATATCTAGGTGATTAATACGTGTCCTTGAGCTGGTCCTGTATGAATACATCAACATGGTCAAGTAATATCTAGGTGATTAATACGTGTGCTTGAGCTGGTCCTGTATGAATACATCAACATGGTCAAGTAATATCTAGGTGATTAATACGTGTGCTAGAGCTGGTCCTGTATGAATACATCAACATGGTCAAGTAATATCTAGGTGATTAATACGTGTGCTAGAGCTGGTCCTGTATGAATACATCAACATGGTCAAGTAATATCTAGGTGATTAATACGTGTGCTTGAGCTGGTCCTGTATGAATACATCAACATGGTCAAGTAATATCTAGGTGATTAATACGTGTGCTTGAGCTGGTCCTGTATGAATACATCAACATGGTCAAGTAATATCTAGGTGATTAATACGTGTCCTTGAGCTGGTCCTGTATGAATACATCAACATGGTCAAGCAATATCTAGGTGATTAATACGTGTGCTTGAGCTGGTCCTGTATGAATACATCAACATGGTCAAGTAATATCTAGGTGATTAATACGTGTGCTTGAGCTGGTCCTGTATGAATACATCAACATGGTCAAGTAATATCTAGGTGATTAATACGTGTGCTTGAGCTGGTCCTGTATGAATACATCAACATGGTCAAGTAATATCTAGGTGATTAATACGTGTGCTTGAGCTGGTCCTGTATGAATACATCAACATGGTCAAGTAATATCTAGGTGATTAATACGTGTACTTGAGCTGGTCCTGTATGAATACATCAACATGGTCAAGCAATATCTAGGTGATTAATACGTGTGCTTGAGCTGGTCCTGTATGAATACATCAACATGGTCAAGTAATATCTAGGTGATTAAACGTGTGCTTGAGCTGGTCCTGTATGAATACATCAACATGGTCAAGTAATATCTAGGTGATTAATACGTGTCCTTGAGCTGGTCCTGTATGAATACATCAACATGGTCAAGTAATATCTAGGTGATTAATACGTGTGCTTGAGCTGGTCCTGTATGAATACATCAACATGGTCAAGTAATATCTAGGTGATTAATATGTGTGCTTGAGCTGGTCCTGTATGAATACAACAACATGGTCAAGTAATATCTTGGTGATTAATACGTGTACTTGAGCTGGTCCTGTATGAATACATCAACATGGTCAAGTAATATCTAGGTGATTAATACGTGTCCTTGAGCTGGTCCTGTATCAATACATCAACATGGTCAAGTAATATATAGGTGATTAATACGTGTACTTGAGCTGGTCCTGTATGAATACATCAACATGGTCAAGTAATATCTAGGTGATTAATACGTGTCCTTGAGGTGGTCCTGTATGAATACACCAACATGGTCAAGTAATATCTAGGTGATTAATACGTGTGCTAGAGCTGGTCCTGTATGAATACATCAACATGGTCAAGTAATATCTAGGTGATTAATACGTGTACTTGAGCTGGTCCTGTATGAATACATCAACATGGTCAAGTAATATCTAGGTGATTAATACGTGTCCTTGAGCTGGTCCTGTATGAATACATCAACATGGTCAAGTAATATCTAGGTGATTAATACGTGTACTTGAGCTGGTCCTGTATGAATACATCAACATGGTCAAGTAATATCTAGGTGACTAATACGTGTGCTTGAGCTGGTCCTGTATGAATACATCAACATGGTCAAGTAATATCTAGGTGATTAATACGTGTCCTTGAGCTGGTCCTGTATGAATACATCAACATGGTCAAGTAATATCTAGGTGATTAATACATGTCCTTGAGCTGGTCCTGTATGAATACATCAACATGGTCAAGCAATATCTAGGTGATTAATACGTGTGCTAGAGCTGGTCCTGTATGAATACATCAACATGGTCAAGTAATATCTAGGTGATT